CCCCCCAATTCTCCTCCCCAATCTCCCCCCCCCCCCCCCTCCCCCCCCCCCCACCCACCCACTGACTTAATGGACTGTTTATTGTTTGATGTTTGAGTCTGACTCCATCATTGTTTCCCTTTCTCTCTGTTTCTGCTCAGTGGTGTGAAAGCCTCCGCTGATGTGTGTATGCTAACGCTAGCTTTAGCTCAAACAAAACAACTGAAGCGATCCCCAGTGCCTTGGCTAACCTTTAGCTGCTTTGGATTGAACTGTGAACCTGTTCATTATCCTGTTGTTACTAACTGTTAGTTTAGTAACATTTCTGTTTTCGTCTAACTTTGTCTTCGGTTTTGGGCTAATGTTCGCACCATCTTCTTTGCCAACTTTTCTGGCTACCTTTTAGCTTCCTCCATGCTAACCTTTAGTCATCTTCACCCCACTTCTCAGCCCCTTTCATCTGCCTCTGCTGACTATTCCCTGACCGACATGTGACTCTCTTTTACCTCACTCACATTTATCGTCTAATCATTTTCGCGCCCCGTGATTTATTGCTAGCTCTGGTCCGTCGTTGGATTTGTTGACGATAGGCTTATCTTCGTACGTCAACGATGCCATAACTCAGCAGCGGCCGACTCTGTAAAGTTCATTTTGGCCGTGAGGGACAAGAGGGGAGTTTGTCAAGAGACTTGAGCCGTTCTGCATGTTGTGTTACAGCTGACCCCGGGCTCAACTTTGACCACTGACTCCAGCAGAGATCTGTCATGAGAGGGAGCTGCTTAACACACAAAATGGAGCCTGGTTCAGGAGTCAGAGAGTGAGAGGAGTGAGGGGCGAGCAGAAGGAGAGGGAGAGAGAGGGAGAGAGAGAGAGAGAGAGCTGCACAGATGACGGATTTATCTTCCTCTCTCTCTCTCTGCTGCTGCTGCTGCTGCCTTTTTTTGTTCCTCTCCTTTTGTTTTCACAGCACAGGAACCGTTTGCTGCGTCTTCTCCGTTAGCATGACAGGCTGCAGCCGTGAAGCCTCCGCCGCAGGTACCACAGAATCCATGGCAGCCAGGAGCAGCAGGACTCTGTGAGGCTGGGTCTGTGAGATGAGACATTAATGAGACACAGAGTGGTGTGAGAGAGGGAGAGAGAGGGAGAGAGAGAGAGGCCTCCTCGGCTGGCACAATGACATATATGTAAATGAGATGCACACACACCAAAAGGAGGCCGGAGGAAGGAGGCGAGCGACGGCGGCCGGGGTCCTGCTGAGCTGTGAGTAGACGAACGGCTCAGGTCAGAAGAATAGGAAACCAAAACAAAAACATCACGTACTGCAGCGGAGAAGGTGTCGCCGGGTAAAAACAGGGAGTTCAGATTTGAAGAATCACATTTTTAGTAATGGCGTCCTTTTTGAATTTTTTTTTCTAGTAATTTTTTTTGTTTGTTTTTCTAAATTGACCAAATTTAAAATTTCAAAAATAAATGAATTAAAACTAAAAAAAAAACTTAAACTGAAAATTTCATGTGGTTTATTTTAACACCACGTTATAAATTGAATGTAATTGACTTTTGTGTGAATGAGATTTATATTATTCATTAATTTAGATATTTTTTTCTCTTCTCTTTTAAACTGTTCAGGAGAAAAACCAGAAGAGACTGTTCTTTAATTTTAATTTAATTTTTTTGTTTTATGTTTAATTATCTTTTGAAAGGTTTATTTTTTTATTCTTTTATTTTTTTCAAAAGAAAATATAAAAAGCACCTTTTAAGCAGGTGTTACTCTTTTTTATTTTCTTTTTTTTTTTAAAATCTCTGAAAGAAAAATTAGTTTTTTCTTTTTCAATCGAAATTTATCTCTGGATTCATATGTATTTTTTTATAATTTATATTTTTTATTTCTTTGATAATTTACCAATTTAAAATACATACATGTTTGTTTTTCTTTTGTTCTATTTTCTATATTTTATTTATTTATTTTCTTAATGGTGTATTTTCCCATTTCATTTATAAATCCACCTAAATATTATTTCTATTTTTATTACTATTATTATTTATAATTCTAATTATATTTTTAAATTTAATTTCAGTTTTTATTAAAATCAATTTAAAGGTGGTAATTTTCCTTTCTTCCTGCCAACCGTAATAAAAAACGTATTAAAAAAATATTCCTAATTTCACAGACAGCCCATTTTTTAAAGAAAGCTAATTATATTTTATTTTTTTTACTTTACAGATATAATTTCAGTTCCCGTTCGTTTGAATCATTTGTTGCGCAGATTCATTTATTTGTCAAATGTGAAATCCTTTCATTTATTAGTGGAGGTTTTGAACGCTGTGACTGACTGGTTGACGTGTTGGCCGAAAGATATTTTAACAGTCGAAAAAAAAAAAAAGAAGAGATAAATAAAATAATTAGAATTCTTGCTCCTTCTCCTCCTCCTCCTCCTCTTCCTCTCCGCTGCTGCTGCTGCTGCTGCAGCGGGAATCTGCTTCGTCCGTCGCCTCAACAGAAACAGACACAAATTAAATTAAAGAATTCGAAGAAACGTCACAGAAAAACCTGCAGGAAAGACTGTTTTTCTTTTTTTTTTCAAACGCGCCAGAGCAGAGCAGAAAATTAAAAAAAAAAAAAAATCTTTAGACGCAGCGTCTTCAGCTGCAGAGGAGGAGGAGGAGGAGGAGGAGAAATGGAGGGTCGATTCATCCATGAATCCAGTGTCGGTTGTTAGAAGCAGAGGAGACCGTGAGACGGAGTGACACCTGATGATGTGGACAGTGACACGTGTTAATTGCTGCTCAGCTCCGCTCATTAGAAACCTCACAGGATTTGAAGCTTCAGGCCAAAAAGATAAAAAAAAAAAGGCAGATGAAGGAGGACAGAGGAGCCGAGTCTGAGCCCAGACCTCAGGCTTCACACTCCAACAACATCCTCCATAAAACAGTTAGGAGTGATGGATGACACGGAAGAGTCTCATTCAAAAATGAACAATTAAAACATGTAATTTAAGTGAAATTAAATTGTGATTAATCGGTACCTGAACACGGCGTTAGTCGCTCACGTGAGTGATTTCTTACCCGGTAACTGGTGTAACGTTAACAGTTCAATTACGTCACAGTTTGACACTAGGACATGAAGAACCACGGGAGTATCAAATATTTAAAATGACGTCATAATATATATATATATAAATATATATTCCTGATGAAGTATTTTGTGTGTCTTCCAGAGCCAGATGACCACGTGACCTCTCTGTGTCCAGTGATGGTGGGAGTAAATGACGGTGTTGTCTGCCTTCATAATTCAACCATCGATACCATCGATACCATCGACACCTTCAGACCAGGCTGCAGTAAATAATCACAAACACCTTCAACAGACACGTGACAAAACATGGGCCTCAAAAAAAAAAAAAAAGAAGAAAAAAAAGGAAAAAGAAATTAAAGATAGAATCGTACAGATAGAATCATTCTGTTTCTAAATCCTAAAAATAGCTTAAATAAACCGTAGCTTTTCGCTAGTTCTGTTTCTAAATGCTAAAAATAGCTTAAATAAACAGTAGCTTTTCTCTCATCTAAAAACATGCTACAAAATGCTAAATATAGCAGTAGGAATAGCCAAAAATAAGCTAACTGTACAGTAAAAGAACAAAAGTGTTAAATATAAACATAATCCTAAAATGTAGCATAGAATAATGAATAATGCTAACTAAATATATATTTATATTTATTTACAAACTAGCTAAGTATCAAAATATATAGTAAACAATAGAAACATCTAACGGTAAAATACAACTGAATCATAACTAACTGAGAGACAGAAATGTGTCTAAAAGTTAACAAGGATATATAACAGAATTAGCTTAGTGGCAGCTAGCTGTAAAATAATATTGAACCAGGAAATTATTTAAAGTTCGACAGCGCGACTGTGACGGAACAGTTAAATAATAGAACAAAGCTACAAGTTAGCGTCAAATTAGCTAAAATGCAGAATAACAGGTAATAGCTAAAGATTAGCCAAAATATCATAAACGTAGCTAAATAAAAATCGTCATTAAATAGCCCGAAATAATCTGAAGAGACGTGACCTGGGAGGGAATATTTAGGAAACACCCCACCTCCCCCTTCCCC